TAATGTAAAATATTAATTCAACAAATTTACAAAAACATATCTCCTCAACTCCAGATCCTCACATATTAATTATAGTTTTTAAAATAGAAGTATAATGTTTATGTAGTAGTGGGTAACTGTCAACAATGAATCATTAAATCTGTAAATGAATCTGTAAATATAAAAAATGTATGATTTTAGACAGGGATGCACACCCTTTTGTGAAGAAGGGCCAAATTAGGATTACGTTTACTGACTGGGGGCCGGACCTCCAAGCGATTAATGCGATGGCTGAGATTTGGATGCTGGCGGCAATCTTCTTTATGTCTGGTGTAATGGCAGATGTTGAAACAACCAGCAGATTTTCCAAATTCTCGTTGGTTAACCTGTTCCGTGTTTTGCACTTGTTTAAATTCATAAGCGAAAACTTGCAAGCTTGTTTGGCAGTACCTATGTATGCTTGTTCGCATACATAGGTACTGCCAAACATGCTTGCACAAAATCGAGCATTGTCTTTCAGTTTTGGAAATGATGTATCTGGCAGTTCTTTGTAGAATGTGAGGAGATTAGAATTTTTGAACTGTGATTTCAATTCATCACTGCACTGGATGTCTATCAACTCAAGTTGGACATCTGGAGGGGCATCTTCCACTTTCACATCAAATGGAGTTGAAAAAAGTTGCAGGTAGATCTTGTATTTCTGGAATTCACCAAACCTCTCATTGAATGATGTAAGGAGGGTGTTAACTTGGTCAGAGTAATCCATCTTCATATGTGGGTATTTCTCTTTCATGGCCTTGCAATGTGGAAAGTGTGTAAAGTTCTCTGATTGCATGTGGGACTTGAAAAGTGATAGTTTGGTCATAAATGCATTGATGTTACTTGTCAACTGAGAAACAAGTTGCATCTTTCCCTGCAATCTCAAATTAAGGTCGTTTAGATAAGCAGTAATGTCAGCAAGGAAAGCTAAATCACACTGCCATCTTTGTCCCTCCAAATTCCTTGTAGTGTTCCCCCGTTCTTTGAGGAAAGTGATAATAGGCCCCAATAGCTCCACAAATCTCTTGAGGACTGTTGCCTTGCTCAGCCAACGAACTTCAGTATACGTGGGCAGGTCAGCATAATCAGCATCTATTTCTTCAAGAAATGATGTGAAGAGTCGATGGTTGAGTCCATGACGGCAGATTAAGTTCACAGTATCATAGACATCTTTCAGCAGACGTTCAAATCCCAGCTTCTTTGCACAAAGTTGCTGTTGGTGAATTATGCAATGATACTGGACTAACTCCTTTTGTCTGTCCCCAAGGTAATTTTTCAGCAAGGAGAAAAATTAAAAATAATAATTTAATTTTAAATTTACGAAAAAAAGAATGTAAAAATAAAAGTAAATAAAAAGTTCCAATTAATTTACTACTTAAATAACCTAAATATATCTGTTTTCTTTCAAACAAAAAAAACCGCAGCTTTCTAGCTACACGGAATCATTTTACAACCCTCTTTGTTGACAAGTTTATGGCTTGACGCGGTTTGTAATAATTATTAAATCCAAAATATTTTAATGCAAATGGCTTCCTTTTAGTCGTAATGACTCTATTCCAACTACAGTATTAATTTTCTTGGTCCAACTTAATAATAATAAATTTGATGTGAAAAATTTTTTTTCTATTCTTAGTCTATGGAGAGATATTGTTGTAAATTATTGGTTGTTATAGCTTTTTGTACATTTCTTTTTGAACTCTGGTTATTTTTTTCTAGTTTGAATGACATTAGGTTGACGAATAAGCGTCTTTTCAGAAAAGATTGATTCAAATTCGACTATACCAATCAGAATCTAGAATGTAAACAAATGCTAAAAAATCGTTATTTTCATGGTTTTTCAGCGCTATTTTCACTTATTTTTGTTATTTGACGCTATTTAGACGAATAAGCAAGTTTTCCGAAGCATAAAATTGAAGATTTCCCGCCAAAATAGAAACTTCCTGATAACATCAGAAATGACGTTCTAACATCATTTTATTTTATTTGATTCTTTAAAAATCATTATAATACTATGTATTAGACTTAGAATATTCGATATCTAAACCAGAAAGTGTTAGCTAGAAATAGACTTATTTATAGAACAACCCCCCATTTCTCACTTCAGGGAGTTATAAAACAGTTGGGTGCTAATGACTTTGTGAAAGGGAAAAGTTCTACACTTAGAAAGTTCGAAAGAAGGGATTTGGCCTGTACCGTCCGCGGGCCGCATAAACATTGATAAGGGGCCGTATGTGGCCCGCGGTCCGCAGGTTGTGCATCCCTGTTTTAGATATGTATTCACAAGATATTGTATTAAGTCTGGATGTATTGTGTAAAACTCCAATAAGAAATCAGACTGAAGAAGGCACAGCAAAATGTGCCAAAATGCATTTTAGATGTCAGGGTTAAATGCTGTATACTATATTAGATAGTTTTATAATTAAATAATGATCTCAAGTCTGTGTGTGATAACCCCTAAAATAACAAACATAACAGTAATTGAGAACTAATTAATAAAAAAGGGATAAGAAGCTAGTCGGTAGACATAATATTTATAATTATTATTTTTGAAAATGTTAAAAAGTATGATAAAATTGAGAAATTTTTAGTAGTAAGTAATATGAAATCTATTATTATTTAATATAGTAGACTGCTTATTTTAATCATATACAAGTCTATCAATCAGTTAAGGTATCAAAATCAGCAAGTCCCAATACATACAAGTTAAAATACATTATAAAAGCTTGGCTTATTGTACTCAGAATTCAGTTATCATCATCAGGTAAATAGTCTTTTTTTGTTCTTTTCATACTATCAATCTCAATATCGCTAGAAACATGCAATAAGAATCAGTTATTATCAATTCTAACAATGATTTAAATGTTACATTTTAATTATTTTAGTCATTAATTGCTTGCAATATAGTAGTTTAAACCGATGGCATTTTGCTAACTGTTATTGAAATTGGCAGCAGACAAATAATATTGAATGAATATTATAAAGTGGGTAATGTCCCAAATTAGGTGGACAGTCCTGCGTTTTAATATGCTGTTTGAATTTTAAAACTGTCCTTTAAAACTGTGTGAAAAATATCTTGCTTTTGGACTGTTTTGTAATTATATTGAATAATATCAATATATTTTAAAAACCGTTTTTATTGGTTATGTTTTTTAAGATTTGAGGTGAGGCATTGTAGTAGTTATGAATGTGCTGTGGGTGAGGCCCTTCATATACATTATCATTACTGTACTACACATTTACACAATATTTATTGGGTTTGGGAATTATTTTGTGAAAGAGAGTTTTTATAGATAAATAAAATGTTCATTGATCATAACATCTGTCATTGATGATATCAGAAAGCTAGAATCCACCAATCAACAACTGGAATTGATCACGACTCATCTAACATCACATTTGTAGTGTTTTGGCATTAACATAATAGTTGAAGGCAAAATACGGACTTATTAGAATTAAATGTTACTCAGACACCAAGCAAAAGGAATTTATTCATATTTTTCAGTCTAGTAAATGTAGTCATATATAATATAAAGTTTCAATTTATACTTTCCTTTGGGGGCACAGAATGCAATTTTCAATATAAGAAAACTATTTTACCACTCAGATAACAAGTAAATGTATACTTGCTTACTGGAGACTAAATTCAATAAAATAAAAACCATTCAAATGTCCAGCAAATTCTTTAATATCATAAAAACGTTTTGAAATGCATTAAGCATCCATCATCAGTTATTTCTCTAAATCGAATGAGGAATTCAAAAAATTACACAAATAAATTTCAAAATAAACGGTTATATAAACGGCTTTTGTGTGTATTGTGTTTATTATTAATGTGTTACTTATTAATTTTTATTATATAACCATTTATTTTGAAATTTGTTTGCATAATTTTTTGAATTCCTCATTCAATTTAGAGAAATAACTGATAATGGATGCTTAATGCATTTGAAAACGTTTTTATGATATTAAAGAATTGTGCTGGACATTTGAATGGTTTTTTATTTTATTAGATAACAAGTACAGTATCCCTTGATTAATGTGGTTAATCAATCTTACTGCATATATCAAAATCACTTTAATCAAAAAGCAATATCCATGTTAAGTAAAGCCAGCTGGTAAAACCATGTAAATTAAAACTTCTACCACGTATATAAAAGAATTGCCGCAATTAATTTTGCTTGTTAAGCAAGGGATACTGTACTATCAAATTAAAAAACTGTTATAATGAATGTTTGTGCACATGTGTTCTAAGCAACAGCACCCAAGAGCATTTGCTTATACAATATTGCCAACAAATACAATAGTAATTATCAAAAAATTTTGATTTAAATCTGACAAAAGGCTAAATGGTAATGATTTAACTATTAATCAGTTGAAAATTATGGAAATTTTGTTTATTTTTTCTACGTATGGTACAGACACGGACAGAGCCTTTAAAGTACGAACTGTCTGTACTAAATACGAATGTATGGTAACCTAATTTCAGTTTCTACTTGCTTTAATATACATAATAATTATAGCATATCCCAGGAATTTCACGTTAGCTTCTAAGGATTGAAAATGTTTGCTAGCATTCTAACATAAATAAACTTTTCCTCTTTAATATGTAAAAATTTTAAGTACACTGATACCAATCAGTTTACACTTGTAAAGAATATAACTTTTTATTACACAACCAAATTATTAAAAATTATTTCACTACAACATTAAAAAACAATGTACTGTTCTGTGTTTGTATTTCTTATATCATTTAAATTTTTGTTTTGATAAAATTATTCACTTTTATCTAAGTAAGGCAGACCGAATTATCCGAGTTCAAAACTTAAGAGTTCATGTAAATCTTAGGCTGCTACTTAAAGTTTATAAATATCAATACACCTTGAAAGTCCGTGTAATTACTATAACTTGTCTTACTTATACTTGACGTAATTAAAATGATTCGATTAAAGTAGTATAAAAGAAACATTCTAGGTATTATTTACCTGTTGTCTTATATAATAACAATAAAATTGAAATCAACAATTGAAACCTACAATTAAAATCAAATTACTAATAACTTTTCTTCTGATACCTTTTAACAATTTGCCGCCAAAATACCGTAAAGTCAGCTGATCAAAACCTATTGGTTAAAATTTTATTTCAAAATTAATAATATCAAAACAACAGATTAAAATTTAACAGAATTAAATTTTTCTAACTTTTATTTTTTAAGAAAACAATTAATTAAACACGCTATTAATTTTTACGTATTTAATAATCCCGCACTTACAGATGAAGACAACATGGCGATTCGTAGTTAAAGGGATTTTGTATGTCAATAATAAGTTTGTTTTAACCGGATAATTTCTTTAATTTTTAACTTGTAAGTAAAGTATATGATTTTAATAACTATTAGAATTATAATATTTAACAAACGTGACTCATTTTTTAAAGATTTTATTATTTCACTTTTTCAATAGGCCTAATTAAACCAAATGGGAATTTAAATTTTATAACTTTCGGACTTAAAATGACGTGAAACTTGTGACGTTATTATTCAATAATTATGTCGATTTCACGTAAATATATAGATTTAATCGTTAATAACTTCCTTTGATTATCAATTGTTTCCGATTTGTATGTCTAAAACGACACGACTTTTTTTTTTTAATTTTAAACGAATATTTGGGTCTTTTCAATGATTAAATTCCACCAATGAATTATTAATCGGGAAATTATCGTAATAATGACGTATCTAAACGTAGAAAATGAATGAATAATGGTTATGATGACTTCGTTATATCCGAATCTATAATGAAAGTATATAAAATTATATAACTTGATGTTACTTTTAGGTCGTTGGCTTATATGTTTATATACTCATAAAGTACCTAAAAGTAACTTTTTACCTATTTCTGTTATATAAGAGTAGATTGGGTTTATTAAAGGCTTAAACTACAGTTACAAATGAGTGCTTATTGTTAATGATATATAATTTTATCATATTTAATAAAATTAGAATCTAATCACAATTATAAAATGACATTGATATCAAATATCCTTGATTGCTACTCAGATCATAAAGGATAAATGTGCAATTCTTAATGTTTGAAAGTTAAAAATTGTACATTTATCATAAATAACTTGAATTATTGTAGATGAATATGTGTATATGTGTAGATGAAGCACAATAATCAAAATGATTATTTAGCCACATTCCATTGTTCAGTTCCATTTGAAGTTATAATTCAGAAAGTATAGAAATATAAATCAAAATTAAATGTTCTGTTACTGATTTTATTGTGGATTTTAAAGAATTAAAAGCTATTGGATTCTTTCCAGTAACATATTATATAAGGAGCAGTTGGTGATATAGATTTTATTAGAGGAAATGCATTTCTGGTCTTAATGACCCCTTTTCAGTCCTTATATTTTACAAATCCTTATCTATCTTCCTTTTGTAAAGTATAAGGACTGAAGAGAGATCATTAAGACCCAAAATGCATTTCATCCAATAAAACTTATATCAACAACTGCTCCTTATATAATATGTTACTGGAAAGAAGCCAATAGCTTTTAGTTCTTTATAAATCAAAATATTAATTAGAAATAAAAAAAGAAGCTTTCCATTATTATTTCTAAATTTTTTGCTTTAATTTAGATATAAACATTTGTTATTAGATGATTGTTAGTATTTAGATAATGAATCATGCTTAATCAGTTAATACTTAAAAGTTAACTTTCCTATCTTTTTAAAAAATCAATTATTGTTGTTGAATCCATTGTGATAAGTCATAGAATGATAAATAAAAAATAAACTTTCACATATTTCTTTGTAATCAAGATATACAGGTCAGATTATTGTTACTGTTAACTTAAAAGACAACTTGAATATATTTTCTATGAAATTCGAGACCTGCTACTAAAATTAAAGTATAAAATCATTTTAGACTTTTCTTTACTGTATACAGATAAAATATATTAAAGATCAAAATAGATTTTGATACGGAATTATTATTTTAATACAGTACATCTATAAGTTTCCAATTGTGGAGATTGCCACGGCAAAAATTAGTGATTTTAGAACGTTTTCTACTTGTAACACTGCTATGACATATTAAGTCTTGAGCCCAATATGGAAATTGAGTCTTGCTTCAAAAAGCTTTGTGAACTCAGACTCAAGCAGACTCAGATTTGTCCATCCCTAACCAAAAATCACTGAACTGTAATTGGTTAATTAAAGAGTTAATACAATTTTTTCTAAAAACATACAATCCTATAGTTAGAAAATTTATAAAAAATTTTCAAGAGAAAAATACATAAAGTGTCTTCAAATTTTGTCTTTTTGTGTGCATCTATACTTTACTAGCTGCTACCCGTGACTTTGCCCATGCAGATTTTGCAAGCAAACCCCATTTATAGTCAGTGTTTCAACAACCATAGTAATTGTTATACAGAGTGGGCCAACGAAAATGAAATGGCAGAGTTATCGTGTTCGTCCGAACAAATCGCTCGGACAGGTCGATTTTATTCTCAAGGGGGACATCTTCAGCAATAAAGTTTTTGCGATTCTGAATACAACAGACAACAAAAAATTTTAAAAACTCATTCATTTTTTATTAACTAAACAAACATTTATTTCAAATAAAGTAACAAACATAAGGAAAAGTTATCAAGTATTCAATAAATGTTTGAATTGAGCACCACATCTCTGTCAATTCATTTCTTACTGGAAGTTCACGTCCAGGGTCGCGTCTTTTGTTAGCCACAGAACCCATTAACTGAAACTTTTGAACTAAGTCCAGAACGTATTTTGTGTTACAATATTTGTTTGGATAGTGTTGATTAAATAAATTTGCAGTAAGATAAGCATTCTCGCGATTTCTGAAATGAACAGTTACTATTTCTATCCTTTCAGCAATTTTGTAAACCATAACAATTATGTTGTACAAAATTCATAATAAACAAATAATAATCTTAAATTCTGATTGAATCATTAAGTGGTTAAGCTTAATGTGAACACTACAAAAATGAATATCTGGAAACAGATAACACATTATCAGCCTTAATTTTATGATCTATTTTTTCCTTGCATATGCGGTCCAGCTTAAAAGGTTTTCTATGTTTGTTAATAGTTTGTGTTACTTTTTTCCGAAATAAATGTTTGTTTAGTTAATAAAAAAATGAACGAGTTTTTAAAATTTTTTGTTGTCTGTTGTATTCTGAATCACAAAAACTTTATTGCAGAAGATGTCCCCCTTGAGAATAAAATCGACCTGTCCGAGCAATTTGCTTGGACGAACACGATAACTCTGCCGTTTTGTTTTCTTTGGCTCACCCTGTATAACACCTACTGTTGAGAATCAAATGAACTGTTTTCATTTTGATCAATTTTCTGGAATGTTTACAATCATTCTGTAATCGAACCAATATGCAATAACAAATTCAAATTTAAAACGGTTTTAACATTTAGTCAAAAAATCGGAATATATAAAAATATTTATAACAATGTCTGAAATGTTATCAATTAATACACCTAAGTATTCAATGAAGACTAAACATAGTTGAAAACAAAAAATTGCATCTAAAATAGTACAGTAGAAGCCATTCTTCAGGTTAAGCCTTAATCCTCTCTCCCCCGTGGGGGAATTTCAAAAAATCCCTTCTTAGTGTGCATTTTTATAATGTGCCAAATTTCACCTCTTTAGGTTCAGCGGTTTGCTCTGGGAGATGATGAATCAATCAGTCAGTCAGGACAAGTAATTTTATATATTTAGATTAACTCTTTTTATATAATTCACATCATTTTTTATCTTCATATTTGTTTGTCTCACAGATATGTTTTCACATATAAATAGAATTTATTATTGTATTTTCCCCTATATTTGTAGGAGAACCATAACCTGTCACTAATCAAATTATCAAAAGTTGATATTTTAAATTTGGCAAGAAGTTTTTCAAATTGTTTTATCAAACAACAATTATTTCTTAAGAACTATTTATTACACTTTCATTATTTAATTTTCCTGCACTTATTTTGCCATAGACCCAATTTTTCCAAATTTGTTTGTTTTTGAATTTATACAAAATTTTCAGGTTTTGTTTAATTCATTTTATTTTTGTCTATTTATTTATTATTATTATTTTACTTGTTCTATTGTATTTGAATATTTGTTTCAAATTCAAAAATTTTAACTGCTTAGATTATGTTAATTTTGAATGCATTCTCATTTGTATATTCTGAAATATAAGATTGTAAATTGAAAATGACCAAATCTTGACCCAAAAAAAAATTTATTTTCATTAATAAAAATTGCTTCCTGAAATTAGTAGTGATTTATTTATTTATTTTTATTTATAATGAATAGTACTAAGCTCTATAAACATTTGCAAATAATCCTAAAATTAAAAATTGCTTTGAAGTGCATATGTGGAAAAATTTGAAAGTCATATGAATAAAAGTAGAAATAAAACCAGTTACTAGAAACAGTTACTTTCTGTTTGTTTCAATAGCATTGTGTTTTTTGTTCTAATGCAGTTGCACATTTTAATGATTTTTATCATAAAATTTCAGTGCAGTTTTACAAGTTTATTCTTACTGGTAACAGTTCATTACAGTAGGCTCACTACTTAATTTATTTTCAATGTTGTTCTGTTTTTTGTACAGTAATATTTTAATACAAAATGTATTGTGTTATTAAATTTTCATTGCTGTACATTGCTTGTTAAAGCAAATAGAGTTCATATATTAATACAATTTCTAATATGGTACTAAAAAAGAAATATGTTTATAAGCAATTAATGCAATAAACAATCCTTAAATGACCATTAAGTGCAGTGCCTTAGAGAATGTATATCATAAATAAAAACAAACGAATAAAATGTTACATAGTAAGATAAGAATGTTTTGATCATTAAACATGAAATGGTTTATACATGCCTACACCTTGGCTGTTTAAAAAATTTGATTTGGTACTCTGTTCCTTAATAGGCTTATGTAACATGAGGATGTCCAATTGATAGGAACAAAAATGTTATCATATTGGATATTTTTGGTGTTTGTTTAATTGGTTTAGTGTTCTGGTAAGTTTTTAGATAATTTACACCAGTTCTTGAGGTGTTTAATATGAGATAATTAGAATTTATAATATTTAATATATGATCAAAAATTTTTTGACCCAAAGAATGTCTAGAAGTGGTGACATAGTATTGATCACAGCTGTGGAGTTGGTAAAAAAACATTCAACTCCAACTCCTGATAATTTTAGTAATCTGACTCTGACTCCAGCAAAATTAAATACCAAGTCATTTTATGGGGGTAGTGGCACTCATAGGGGGTTACCCTACTCTGAACTCTAAAGGAGTCCCAAGCATTTACCCAAATACTTTATAATATTTTTAATATTTGACTTACTTGATTTAGGTGTTTTTTCCAGCAATGATAAAGCAAATTAAGTTTAACAAATATTTAACAAGAGAAAAAAGGGGGTGTGCTAAAATTCTACATCTATGTATCTTTATTCTTCAGCCCCTTGTTCAGAAAAGAAAAAATACTCTGATCAATTAGTCTGGCTCATTCAGAAAAATAGAGTACTTAGCAGGGATAATAAAGGAATGAATCAAAAATATTTTAATTCAATTCGGTCAAAATAATTTAACTACTAAATACAAATACTACAAAGAAAACTATTGATACATATTTAATAAATTAAATTGTTGCATTTTGTATTTAAAATAAATGAATTATAACAAAATACAGAAGCATTTAAAAAAATTATTAAATATAAAATAAATTTTCTTTCATTTAAATGAAAAAAACTAAATTAAATTTAAAATGCCGGAGTTGGAGTTAACACATTTTTCCTGACTCTGACTCCTCTGGCCAGAAATTCCTTCCGGCTCCACAGCCTGGTATTGATGGTGATTGGATTGGTCTGAGATATGCAACTCAATTCTAGAACAACTGATCTTTATTTTACGAATATAACAGTACATGATGCAATTAACTGATCTTAAAGGGGTGCTACCACAATAGTAAATATAAGACTTTAATAGGAAATTTTGATAACTGCTACCCTGAAAGTCTTTAATGCAAGATAATTTAACATGTTCAATGACGACTCGCAGATATATTTTTCTTCAATATTTTAAATTTGAAGTTTAAGACTTCAAATTTAAAACATTTTTGAGTCTATCATTTAATCCTTTAACATCAAACCAATATAACTTCAAACAAAAAAAGTTCTGTGATGAAGAAAAACTTCATTAAAAGACAAATAATAAAAGGTAAAAATTCACAAAGTTAAAAACAAGCAAACATCAGCCTTTTATTGGAGAATCTGACGTTTTTTACATTAAAAACTAAAAATAAATTTTCTCACCAACTATCTAGTTCTTTGCCAATTTTTTATTTATTAAAGTCATTCATATAATTTTCTAAAAATAAAAAATTATTTCATGCATTTATAGTAAGAAATTTTTAAGTGAAAAGAATATAAATTGAGGTTTAGAAGATGAAAAGAAAAATATAGAGTATATGGATTCATACTATTAAAAAGTATATCTGGTTACCCTATTTAATATCATGTTAAGAGCATGAATTGATAAATAAGTTTTTGATTTTTGTAGGTTTAGTATGTCATTTAAGAAAATTAATTAGGATTATTCAGATGGATTAAGAACAAGTTAAAATTTTTCCTATAAGAAATAATTGAAAATACTCTTGATATTCAAATCGTTTTCAGGAATGGTTTAGATTCAGATAGTGGAGTATAACTCTATATTCTTTCAAATAATTTTTATGAATTACAGTCGACCCCCCTATAAGATCATAGATACGTTCCATTCTTTAGAAATCCAATTTCTTACGAGTCCTTCCAATCACAGTCCGACACGTGTGAAGTTTACGGACTATGGCTGTTTGAAAGGTTTTCTTCCATAAAATTAATCGATTCTAGACTAATTCGACTCAACATTTCCAAAATACGTATATTTTTTTGGGAACAATCCGTATAAACTATGCTATAAACAAAAAAATTGTAGGATTACTTGTGCACCGTTTGACGTCGCCATTGCTCAAGCTTGTTTTTGTCGTGGAGCAGCGCACCAAATGGCAGGCGATTTCTGATAAGTTATTTTTCTGCGAAAACTTCGTTGAACTTTGGAGACATCATTAATATAAATAACTTTAATCACCGNACCTTTGGAGACATCATTAATATAAATAATTTTTATGGCCGTTAAATAAGAAATGTTTCTTTCACAAGAAATGTATAAAATTACAGTACTAAACAGACGATAGGTCGCCTAACTCGCCGTAGCGTGACGCTAGACGGCGGAAAGCATATATATAATTATAATAAAGTTACAATAAATTAAGTTAATATATAATTATATGTACAGTACCTAATTTATATATAATTATATGTACAGATGAAACTAAACTCAATTTAGCTGCCTAAATGTCCGTAGCGCCACGCTACGGACGGCGGGAAAGTAGTTCGGCTGCCCGATGACGTTTTACATAATTATAGGAGTTTTTTTTACCTTTTTTACGGATACTGTTGCAGTTTTATAGAAATCGTAATTATAGGGGGGGTCTACTGTATAATTTCAACTATCTGAACAATATACCAAGGGAAAGTTGTCATCATCCTCAGGGATATTGATTAAACTGTGTGTGGATAAGCTTTGGTATGAACCTTGAGAAACAATTTTTGTCTTTAATTTTCTTGAAAACATTTTATCAAGTAAAATTACAAAAATCACAAGAGATTTACAAGTTTTGTGGAACTTTTCATTGAAGTTTGCATCTTGGCAATCTATGCCTGACTTATATTTGTGAGATTGCTAGTTTGCTTCTCACTAACTGAATTTTTTTTCAAATCAATGCAGTTTTTACATAAAATAATTGTAAAATCATAGACAAAATGTATGAACATACGTTTACACATTCTGTCTGTCTGTTTATTATTAATACAAAACAAAAAAATAAATATATTTTTTCAAAATTGAAAACTGAATAGAAAACTAAAAAAACTATAATCTAATAATAATAATAAAACAATATACTTAATATTGTTATTAATGAATTTATCTTAAATTTTGTTTTTTAGGTCATTCCAAATATAAATATGTGGAATATGATATTACATTGAATTTAAACAAGAGAATCATAATTAATCATTGGAAAATGGCAGATTCACAAGATAGCAATGATTCAACACAAGAAAATGATACTAAAGAAGTGGAAAGTTTATTGGCTGTTGAAGAAATATCAGATGCCAATAGTAGTACTAAAGATGCTGAAAAACAGCCTAGTGTTAAGAGAAGATTAAAATCAATTGCATTTGGAAGACACAAAAGAATCCCAAAAGATCCATCAAAGAAAAAAAGAAAAGGTACATGGGCATTTAAGCTTGGATGCCATATGCGTCCCAGAACTATATCCAATGCTTCTGAAACATCAGGAAGATGTAGTTCATGCATATGTACTAGTTATAAAAGAACTGAAGATAATTTTGTTATGGAAAATGAAGGATGTAATGAAACTGTTACAACCTCTAATTCTGCTGCTGCAGCTGAATGCCAGACTGTGCCACAATATTCATTGGCTTGTGAAAATCTTGAAAACCAATCCAGTTCTTCAACTTGTAATGAATTTATATTAATGAAAAATACAGATACTAGTCATTCTGACATTTCTTCTAGAAATTACCATCCATCAGATCTTCGTCACAATCAAGAACTGGCAAGAGAAATTTGGGAAAATCATTCAGCAAATTTTTCTTTAATAAGTGCAGAGTTTCAACTTTCTGAACTTACGCTCACATTTCATAGAAGAGTTAATTTAAGTGTTATTCCATATTTAGAGAGATTAAATAGAGCAGAACAATTTTCCACTGTTTTAAACAGAGGATGTGAAAAGGCAACTGAAACTATACAGTCTTTACCTACTATTCATACTCGTGTTGACTATGTACATTGCTTAGTACCTGATTTGTTGGAAATTGCTAATTGTAGTTTTTATTGGGGTAAAATGGATAGATACGAAGCAGAAAAACTGTTAGAAAATAAACCTGAAGGTACTTTCCTTTTACGGGATAGCGCGCAAGAAGAATATCTATTTTCAGTTAGTTTTCGTCGGTACGACAGGACACTTCATGCTCGCATTGAGCAGTGGAATCATAAATTTAGTTTTGATCCTCTTGATCCAGGAGTATTTGCAGCTAGTACTGTATGTGGTTTAATTGAACATTATAAAGATCCCAGTTGTTGCATGTTTTTTGAACCAATGTTAACTATACCACTTCATCGTACATTTCCTTTTTCACTTCAGCATTTATCCCGTGCTGTAATCTGCAGCCGCATCACTTATGACAGCATCAACAAACTTACATTGCCAAAAAGTTTGAGAATGTATCTGAAAGAGTACCATTATAAACAGAAAGTCAGAGTTCGTTGTTTGGATAGTGATCATTAAATTTAAAATTTGTTTGAAATTCTAGAAAATTTTATTTTAATCCTTTCTTTGTTAAAATAGATAGTGTCATTCTAAATTCTCTCCTCCTTACTATTGATTTATTAAATTTATATACATATGCAATTTCTTATTATATGTAAAATTTTAAAAATATCAATTCCAATATTGATAAAAATTGTTTTTAAAAACTTTCAAGCAAATAATTGAATTAAAAATTAGCTGTTAATTTTTATTGTATACACATAAAATGTTTTTTTGAAATTTTAAAAGGTTATTTTAAGTTTTTCTCCAACAAATTTATATTTGTAATTTATTTTCTTTAACAGAAAATAACAAAATTTTGAATTTCAAAATGCCATCAGTATTATTGATTGATACAATATCATGTCATTTAGTTCAATAATATTTTGGCTTATTATTCTATGTTTTCTAATAAAAAACATTAGTATAATTCAATTTATTTAATTTTATTTTATAACCATATTCAATTGTGTGTTTATCTTAAAAAGTGTTGATTATTTGTATATAGAGTATTTATAGTTTTGGTTGGGTTCAACTTTTTGTGATTTTGTTCATTATTTTAGTTGTGAATACTAAGTTAGTTTTAAAATGCATATAAATGTTATCTTAAAAATATTAGCTTTCTTAATATTCATTTTTCAAAACTTAAAATGTCTTCAGTTAAGTTACAATTTTATACTATTTTGTCTCTTAATTTCATTTCTGAAACTGTATCATTTTTATAAATAGTAGTATATCTGTGTTTATGTATTTCTGCTTTGAATAAAATTTAAACATTTATGAATTTGCTTATCATAAATTCAGATTTATCATTTGGCAAAATATTCATAAAAAAGTGATAGTTATTATAAAAGAGTTGTATCTGATAGATACTAAGGATCTTGCCTTAAACATCAATAAACTTTCAAAAAATCAGATTGATATCTTCATGTTACAGACTAACAACTTTTTGTTTAAATTTTTAAATATGACAAAGTAAATTTATTGTCTAAAGAAGATTATTGATTCTATAAAATTCTATTTATACTATTCTATAAAGTTAAAAGTTTATTGGTATTTAAAGCAAATTTGTAAACAGTATTTTCATGATGGTATTTTGAAGATTTCAGCTCTGGATAATTAAACTTTGAAAGTTATTTAACATAAAAAGTCAAGCTATTATTTTTGGTAGCATTATTTCAAGTAAAATCTGAATATATAAAAAACTCAATATTTCATTTCTTACTAGTTATGTTTATGGGAGAAAGTATTTTTTGTAAAACAAATACAAAGTATAACGATATTTAGCTTGTAATTTTAAATTTAGAATAGAAAACTGATAAATGGATATTCATATTAAATTTTCACTTTTTTGACTCCAAGATGTATTTTTTCTGGTAGTAGATTCAAAAGTATGTAAACATTGATGACAGTATTGAATGATTTAATTGATTTTTTTTCAATTACATATACAAAATATATTTGTATAATGCTCAAAGAGAAATATCTAACTTTGTAGGTATATAATGTTAAGATCAATTCATCATTGTGATATTTGTAAAATTAATATTTTGAAATCAATAATAGTTTGTATTTCCAGAATTTTTCTTGAGAGAAAGCTTAAATCCTCCTATAGATAAGATAGACAAATATTAATTAAATGGTTTACGATTGTGTTTTATTGTTGATACTATATCTAAATAAAATACAATTAAAAAGTAATTTTTGAACAAAATGGTGTCTGTCTGCATCCTTTTCTTAATTAGAATTATTATTAGTAATAATAATAATTATCTCTGAAATTTAATTTCTTTTAATATTAGAATGTAAGTTTTCAAATACAGTCGACCCCCCTATAAGATCATTGATTTTTCCGTTTTATCTGAATTACATGTTGTACGAGTCACTTAGATTTTACAAATATGTGAGCCGTTCACAGCCCGGCACACGTATTTGTAAAATCTAAGTGACTCGTACAACATGTAATTCAGATAAAACGGAAAAATCAATGATCTTATAGGGGGGTCGACTGTAATTTATAGAAATTCTTTTATTTTCTAGATACACAGGGTGATTATATCAATAATTAATGTTGTCCTACTCAGACCTGTCTAGAGCCCGTTCTCGTCGACGTATTTTGATGAAACTCGGTATATATGTTATATGGACCATGGGAAAAAGGAAAATGCAAAAAAAATATTTAGTTCGANTTTTATAATAGATTTGAGTTTTTGTCTATAGGGTTCTGTAGTAAACTTGTTTACACAGTTATATATAATAATAATTGTATACACAGTTATTATACTATGAGGTTGATTTTTAAGGAATTTAATTGATTGATGAATAAACAGTTGCATTTATGTAGGTGATTTAAAATTAACAAAACTGCTGTAGAGAGTTATGATTTTGTTCAATACTATTATTTGTATTATAAATGTAAGGTAAAATAGTGTCTTTGAGGCATGTAAAAAAAATGTAAATTTGTTTATTGTAATATTTAAAGTTTTTTCTAATATAAAATATTCTTAAGAAATTGCAGCTTGTTACTTTACAATTGTTGTTACAACAGTTTTGCTCAAATTGTAATGTTATAATGTAATAAAATATCAATGATTAATTAAATAACAAAGTGGTCATAATGTTAAAAGTTAAAAAATATTTTCTGTTAACTCAATGTTGGAAATCAATAATTCCAATTATTATGCAAAGATGACATTAAAACATCTAAACAATGTAAATTTGTTTAAATGTTTTTAAATCTGCAGTCATACATTCAGGACTGTTTCAAAGAAAATATATAAATTCAGCTATCCTATTTATTGTAATAATAATAAAATATTATATAAATTTGTATAATTTGTTGATGAACATGTGTTCTCTGTATAAAATTGTCTGTTTGCAATAAAACTTAGTACCAAATTTTTAAAATGTAATGTTTTTTTTATGAAATGAAAAAAAATTAAATTTTTAAATATGACAAAGTAAATTTATTGTCTAAAGAAGATTATTGATTCTATAAAATTCTATTTATACTATTCTATAAAGTTAAAAGTTTATTGGTATTTAAAGCAAATTTGTAAACGGTATTTTCATGATGGTATTTTGAAGATTTCAGCTCTGGATAATTAAACTTTGAAAGTTATTTAACATAAAAAGTCAAGCTATTATTTTTGGTAGCATTATTTCAAGTAAAATCTGAATATATAAAAAACTCAATATTTCATTTCTTACTAGTTATGTTTATGGGAGAAAGTATTTTTTGTAAAACAAATACAAAGTATAACGATATTTAGCTTGTAATTTTAAATTNGTTAAAGTTGTGAAAATTGTTCCATTTCTCAAATTACCTAGATAATGTGCAGAGTATACCTAGATAATGTGCAGAGTATCTAGGTAATCCGCACATTACCTACTAGGCATTCGGTAAAGTGAAAATAAGATCTTTGCCACAAATAAATGTACCACAAATAGGTGTGCTTGTCGCAAAAACCAATTGCTATGAAATTCAAAGTGTCACCAATCTTTAGACTGCACTAGTAAGTAAGCACAATTGGATAATGTTACCTATGGTGAGTAAAATGGCGGCTCATCTCTGATTCCAGCAAACAGAAGAAAGGAAACAGTGGGGACGCACGTTCTAACCTAACCTAACCTAGTCTAATAAATTACCATAATTATTACCAACCAAATTATTAGAATAAGTTAGGTTAGGTTAGAACATGCGTCCCACTGTTTCCTTTCTTCTCTTTGCAGGAATCAGAGACGAGCCGCCATTTTACTCACTATAGGTAACATTAACTGCACAATTATATCATGCGATCACCAGAAAAAGTATAACAACTTTATTATTTTTCGTCTCTGGTCCAAAAGTAGGGTATCGTTGAACTCGTCTCGGTCCCTTCAGTTCAGATATATACTCAAAGTTCCGAAATTCCGTAGGTGGTAATCCATATAATCCCCCCTTTTCCTAATTGTAATAATATTTTAAACCGTTTGATTTTTTGTATTACAGGTTTTTACTTGATTGATGATTGATTCTATTAACTAATTTGTTGATTGATTGTATTAACTTGATTCTTTAAATATCGAAAATTAAATATAGAACATTATGTTAATTCAAGTGTACAGAAACGTTGCTGCTGTTCCAGCAAAGATCTTATTTTCACTTTACCAAGTGCCTAGTAGGTAATTTGCGGATTACATAGATAATCTGAACATTACCTAGGTAATTTGAGAAATAGAACAATTTTAGCAACTTTAACGGATCACTCTAGTTAATCTGCAGATTAGCTAGGCAATGTACACATTAACGACTTTCGAGCTTTACCGGTAACATATATATGAACAATAAGGTTTGGCTCTATGGAGGACTTACCAGACTATTGACATTTGTCGGAGTAATATGAAATAATTTCCTAAAACACCTTAATATGAAGCTAAAAGTAGCAATATCTGCCAGATATAATCAATCACTTTTATAATCATGTAACATTTCAGTTTATTTGTCCAAAATCCCCTTTTAAGTGGTTGTAAAAATGCCTAAAACACCTAGTGCATACCATCGTATAGTAGCATTACATTAGTAAACATTATTGGTACAAGCTGAAAGGCTGCAAAAACTTCACAATTAATTCACTAAACAACAAGTATAATCTCTTACTGTTGTAAAAACCAATAATGAAGACATCCATATTTTGACAACAAATAGAATGTATCATTTAAAGACCTGTAAATCCACTTAATTGTAAAAGCACGACTGATGAGGGACAACTACTCTCCCTTCCTCAGCAGTTTACTTACAAATATAATCAAACACCAAACAATTTGCTGAGCTTATTATTTATTTACTGTTCAAACGTTTTCAGCCTACTTCTAATAGGCCATCCTCAAGACATTACCATTCTACAATCGAATACAAAACTTTCGAATAAATTTTAAATTTAAACTTAGTTTTAGATTTAAAGAAGTTTAAAATTAAAATTTATTCGAAAGTTTTGTATTCAATTGTAGAATGGTAATGTCTTGAGGATGGCCTATTAGAAGTAGGCTGAAAACGTTTGAACAGTAAATAAATAATAAGCTCAGCAAATTGTTTGGTGTTTGATTATATTTGATGAGGGACAGATTGATTATGTAAGTTCGCCGACTTCCAGGGGGGGGAATCGTTAATCCCGCGTCAGAATAATCTAGAGTTGAACG